TACAGCATCTCTGTATAGAATGTGTATTCACTCACCTGCCCCCCCTCCCTATGAGCCCACTGTGCTCTGATTGGTCAGCTCGCCCACTCTGCTCTGATTAGTCAACCACCGTTACAGCTGAACATCAGCGGTGGTTGACTAATCAGAACTGGTCCGCCCTTGGGGCTCGAGGAGCGGACAGTGTGAGGTCGATTACTGGTGTCCTTTCCTGGTTGCTGCGTGGGGTTTGTGAGACAGCGAGACACTGAGCTCCGTGGCGTCTCGTCGGCATGGCACTTGGTCTATATCCAGCATCCAGGGAAACACAGCGCGAAATCCACCTCACACTGTCTGCTCCGGTAGCCATGCGGGGCGGACTCCTGAGCTGCTCGGGAGTCCACCCTGGCAGAGGATGTGCCTATTGTTCTTTAGCTGAGTGCCAATTGGTCAATTTAGACGTAGTGACGTCAATGGGCCCCGGAAGAAAAAAGTGGAAAAGAAAATTCTACAACGAGGCATTCTGGGACAGCATAGACACGTCTTTTCTGTTTTAGAGTTTTACTCGCTACAGGGTTTACTTTGAGGGTTTGTGACTTTGCAGACCGTTTACAAAAAGCTATAGATAACACACAAGCGGACGGGTAATACCCAGAAAAGCATATGATGGGACCTTTAAGAATGTATTTTGGATTCATACGTGTTTTCAAGGGGAAATATTACTGGAATGAATTAATAGGCCCACATTTAACTATAATGTAGTGTTTTACAAGATTGAAAACACTTTTCTAATGCGAAGTTTTCTTGTGATATATGTGTTGGTCATCAATAAAGGGAATGGGGAATAATCAGACAGATCAAGGGTCGTTGGGGAACACCAGTACGAAACCCGCCTCAGCCGCTATTGCGTCAAGCCGTTGTGTCCTTGGGCAAGACACTTGACCCTAATTTTCTCCTGTGGGTATTGTCCATGTAATAACTGTTACATGTCTAATATGTGTAATATGTAATGTAAACGCTTTGAGCACATGGAAAAGCGCTCTAATCAAAACATGTAATGAATTGTCATTATTATTATTTAAGAAAAGTAATTTATGTGGTGTTGAATCTTTTGTTTACAATTGATGTTTGCAAAATAACAGCTGGCCCTAGGGACGTGGCTTGGGAACCGGAAGGTCACCAGTTCAAGTCCCTGAAAGACCAAGTGCTACCAAGGTGTCCCTGAGCAAGGCATTGTTCTCCACACTGCTCCCCGGGTGCCGGTCATATGGCAGCCCACTGCTCTTAACACTATAGTATTGGTCAAATGCAGAATGTAATTGATCATCTCACATTTGTCACAGAGGTGGGTGATCAAGGAATCCTTTCTTCTTCTCCTAAACTGTACATGCAAACTTGAGTATCTACATAAATGAGATAAAAAAAATTATTTATCATGTTTGTGATTATGTTCTATGGTAATGCTAGGCCATGTATACAGTATCAGTCAGGGATTATCTCTCCCCTCTTAATGCTCTTAAAAATATTTGTTCTATAATACAAAGTGCTTTGAATATTAAAGGAGGCTCAGTTCATTAATGTTAAAGGATTTAAAAAGCATATTATCTCAATAGTTGTGTTTATTTAATAGTTTGTATTCCATCTAGTATTTAATTTAACTGTCTGATTTACTGTTACTCCACCATATGATGCCTTCGTGCTTTTATTGTGAAGTAAACCTTCAATTTACATTGTATTCCTCTAAAAAGAGCGCTTCAGTTTAGCTATTATACAGAAACATTTATTTTATAGTGTCACAAAAGTGTTGAATTCATATCAGAATTATTGCTCAAAACGTATATTTTTTTACAATACTTTTATTTTCATCACTATACCGGAAGTCGTATCTTTTCCCCACATCTCATTCCGCGCGAATTGACAGCGGAGCCAAAAAACAGTGACACCGCATCCGGATAAACAAACGGGGGAGTGGCGGCTCGGACTGAGGAGGACAGGTAGCCTGTATCCTGAATTTTTTTTGCAAATAATTATTCCGGATAATAATGCAGTCTTCCAAGAGGAGCGAGAATGACTGGCAGGGGCTGGTGAGCGAGGTGAGTGAGACCGGGAACAGCTGTGCAGAGGCGGACTACTTTCACCGAAGCTCCGGTGTCCATATGGAACAGCTTTACTGTTTGAATAGACCGAGGAGCTGTGCAACATCACAAATAAACCCACTTTTTATTTGTTGTTTGTATGATATGCTATGTACTGGTTGATTTAAGAGGTGAGCATGGTATTTTGTCAGGCCTCCGGGTTGGAAATGCAGTGCCACATGCCCACATCCTTAACACGACCTGATACAACACACCTGTAGGGCTGCTGCATCTACATTGCTCGAATTCATCTTTAATGATATTTAGAACTATTCGACCAAAGGGGGATATATTAAATAGACATTTACATATTTGAAAGTGTAGGCTAATGTTTAGGGCTGCTTAATTTGCGTAAAAAAAATCCTCATAACGTTGTGATAAATATGTTTAAATAAGTTTACTTAGTTTGTTGCTGCCTTCAATGTAGTTCTAAAAGACAACACATTGCTGTTGAAGTATTCGTATTGTCACTATCCTATAATAAAGAAAATGTACTTCAGAAAAATGTCTGCTTTGACTTTATTAATGTTAGATAGTTTTATTTTATTTTAATACTCGCTGTTTTCACATGTTTTTCTGACCAAACAAACCATCCATTAAGTGGCAAAAATAACTGCCTCATTTAAATTGCATTAGTTGCATCTGTGAAAGAGTGGTTATCATGGCTGAGCTGCAGACACTACTACAAGCTGCTATTTAATTTGGTTATGAGCTGTACTGACTGATATGAAGCTTCGCTCTGCTGTGTGTTATCTACATCTAAGGCACTTGGCTTCAGTGTGTGTTTTTCCACCTGTAGGGCACTGGTTGGGTTTGGTATTATTTGCACAGTTAAGTGTTTCTAACATTGCCGTCCCTGTTGCACACTTTGAAGCCAAGAAGCTTGATGATACAGTTGATGTGAAAATGTTATATACAGTTGTACTCTTTGGCCCCTGGAATTAACACGAAAAGTGTCAGTGTCAGCAATTAAAGGGCAAAGCGGCCACAAGAATGCCCCGAAAGCTGTGATCAAACCAATGATGTGGAGAGTCACAGTCCCTAACCTGTGCTCTGTGATGGTGTGTGTGCGGTGTTTGTAGTTCCTGGTGTGTAAGCGGAAGCTGGAGAGTAAGAAGGAGGCTCTGCTCATCCTGTCTAAGGAGCTGGACACCTGTCAGCAGGAGAGGGATCAGTACCAGCTGATGGCCAACCAGCTGAGGGAGCGCCACCAGGGACTGAAGAAGAAGTACAGGGAGCTCATCGTGAGTGATCTGTCCTCAGTGTTTTCTCTACACACACGTCATTTTTCCCTGTCTCCGTGCGCTCTCCATGTGGACTTCCAGTTTAAATAGTAAACTCTTTTCATATTTTAGGACGGTGACCCTTCTTTGCCACCAGAAAAACGCAATCAAGTAAGTTGTGGTTAAAATCAAGGACTCCATTTATGCCAAAATTATTTCTTACTAAAGCATATCTTATATATCTGCTATATGAGTACTGTATTTTTGTTAAAGTTTTGCTAAGATTGTACATTTTCAGTGTCAAAATAATATCCATTGACTTTATATTTTCTTAGTTCTCCTTTATGATTCTGTCTCTCAAAGGTTTCAAACATAGGAAAATGTTTGGGAAAAATAATAAAATACATAATACTTTTTTAATAATAAAGATTCATTATATAAATGTTACTATAATACTTATTTGAATATGTATATTTAAAATATACAGTAAATAATGTAAAGAAATAAATATTCTTAGTAATATTTCCATATCATGCAGCCCTAATCTCCATGACGATCCACGTGGCCAATCACCAGCTGTTTTCACGATTCTCCTCCACCTTCTCCTCAGGTGAACCTGGCTCAGCTGCTGAGAGACTCCAGGGAACGAGCCAAAAAGCTGACAGAGGAGGTGAAGGAGCTGGCGCAGAGGCTGACGGAGGCCCAGGAGGACAGCAAGGTGAGGTGACCTGCAGCAGCATGTGACCACACCCCCACACACACACACACA